GTTCATACGTCAGCGTGCGTTCATCGAGATATGAAGCACGCGGGAAGTTTGGAGAGCACGAAAGATGCGTAAGAGTTGCTCGAGGCGTAGCCGATTAGACAAATTTACGCGCTGGGTTATAATTAATATTGGCCAGTCTGAGCCTTTCCATTACCCAGCTGACCTTGACGTTCGCCGATTACATTTTTCGGATTTGGTTTTTTTGTTCATTATGACATCACTTCCTCACCGGTTCTTTGCGGTTTTTCTTACGTCATAGTATCAAGTAGTTAAGTGCTGAAATGATTTCCATTGTTCCTCATTTGGGTAATTAAACAAATTGTCAGCAATAGCAGATAACTCAGTTGAGTGATAAAGCTGTAATGTTACCCAATTTGCAACCTTGAACCAGAGTTTAAGAAGGAAAGTTGAGAGTTTGTGCAATGAGACAATTTTGAATGATGAAAAACCTTTAAGATCTTAAAAGGAGTTATCAGTAAATAATAGAAGGTTTCTAGCAGTAAAGAACCAGTAGTTATTTATTGATAACTCCATTTTTAAGATCTTGGTTTTCATCATTCAAAATTGTCTCATTGCAAAGGAAAAAGGAGGACAATATTTCCTTCTTAAAATCTAGTTCAAGGTAGCAAATTGGGTAACATTACAGTTTTATCACTCAACTGAGTTATCTGCTCTTGCTGACAATTTGTTTAATTACCCAACTGAGGAACAATGAAAATCATTTCAGCACTTAAGGATGTCAGACTCTCAAGAGCAGACTTATTGCCACTTATGCTTGGCTGCCTGACAGAAGTAAATAACAAGCATTCACTTAATTCATTCGAAGCACGTAACTTAAAGGTTTTTAAAGGTTTTTCGCAGAAGTGCAATTGAGAAAAGGGAAACTGGTGTGAAGGACCTCACTGACTTGGGTAAGCATTGGAAATAACTCTTAAGCTCTAATTAATACTTTAGTAGATCTAGTTCACGCGTCTTTCGTTGCAAATGTCCACAGTAGAGTAACATTTGCATTTGAGAGGAAATGCTTCCCAACTAACGACGAAGAAAATGGGTCAAAACACTAAGCTTCGTAGTTCTTTACATACCAATATTTTTGATATTGTGGTTTTAACAATAATTGCTCTGATCGATGTTCAAGTTATACATGTGCAGTGATCAGCGAACGGCAAATGTAATCAGCGCGAGTGTAAATGCATTCCATGCCGGTGTAAATGATGGTTTTTCAAAGGATCTAATCTGCCAAAAATTCTAAATTAATCATCACTTTCAAGAAGAATCTCTCTAATTTCACATGGAAAGACTGAGCTTGTGTGTCAAAACAACATCAGAAATGTATGAATATTTTAGGTGCCAACAGAGTAAACTAAAGCTAAAACACGGAAAAACTTGATAAAATACATCACTGCGAGATTAAAAAAAATTACGCATGTTAACAAAAAAAACATCGCCGTCTCTAAGAATTTTGTTTCCTTGAAGGTGAACATGTTGGTATTCTTCCTCGCTCACGCGCCGTTACATAAACTTCCCTTCGATATTCACAAGTTCCACAGTTGCTATGTGACTCATTACTACGAAAGACTCGCGAGTCTTGGCACACTGTCACGGAAAATGAAGCAGACAATAACTCCGCGTCATAACCCAGGCAATATCAATTTCGTTTGAAAGAACTATTTTTTAATTATTAATTTTTAATTACAGGCGTCTATCAGCCTTCGTAGCTCAGTTTTACTGTTATTTTCAGCCATAGCTTTCTTTTACACATTCATTCAAACGCCGTTCCTTTGTGGTGTCTAGGTCAAAGGCCGCGGCCCGGTTGTCTAAAGCTTATCGCATAATAATCTTCCACCAAACACCACTTTTTAGTATTTCATCAAATGGAACCTTGGTTCCTCTTTCATTTTTACTCGAAAACATAAGAAACAGCCAAAAAGATGCAACCGTCCGTAGAAGCTCCTTTTAGGGGCAAAAGTAAGGAAAAGGAAAACTTACCTTTATTTCGCCTGAGGTATTTTATTTATTTTTCATTCTGTGTTGGGGTTTACCAAAATCGAGTGATGTTGCAGACTTGGTTCATTTGTATAACTTGTTCTTAATCATACCATGCGTGATTCTGCCGACCCTGCGCTCTTTGCGTTCGCAGTTGCGCAGTCGTTTGACCGTCATATCCACAAACCGTGACGTAACTGCTTCATTAATCAGGATTCGTTCACTTTCTCCTTCGACAAAACCCGTTTTAGAGGTAGGAAGAGAGAGAATCCTACGAACAAAATTGAACGCATGTCTCGCACTTTTTGAGTACAAAGACTTCCTTTCCACCACATTTCTATTTTTGTTCCTTACAGGGTGCTAGCCATGGGAAACAGCGTGGATTGTTGTTACAACTCGCGCTGGTCTTACCAGTGCATTTTCCCTTGCATTCGTTTTTGTACATACACAGGACGCCGAGTCTTTTACAACTATGACGGCATGGAAAAGGTTCAACCACTCGTCCATATTTACCACCCCCGGAACGAGCGCGTTCACTCTCTTCCAGATGCTCTCTATGGCATTGATGACGACGATGATATACAAAATCAAATCAAAAGCCATAAAGGTGTGTACACGAACATTTGTAGGAGCAAAAATTATAAACTGCGATTGAGCGATTGAGAGAGTGGAACCAACTAACTTGACTAAAAACAATTACAGTAACTGCTGCTTTAATGAGTGACTGTTTAGCTTGGAGAACTCACGCTGAAATATACATTATCATGATGCAACTTTGGAATAAATGCTTCCTAACATATGGAATTGCTACGGGTAAAAAAGTACCTGCAACTGATTTGATTCATCTGACTTTCTGATTACACAGGGCTTGACGGCGCTGGTCAAATCGCGGCGTTGTGCAAGTATGCAGCGGACAATGGCTACACCATTCGCGCCGTGGGCACAGGCTCCTCCTGGTCTCGTCTCACCCATACTAGAGACATACTCGTGGTCATGACTGATTTGAACAAGATCCTCACGGTCCCAGCAACGATATTGGAGGATTCACAGTCGGAGGGTTCAGAAATTGAACCAACGAAAATAACATATGAAGTCGAAGTACAAGCCGGGAAACGCGTTGTAGATTTTGTCGAGGAACTCAAGAAACAAAAAATGGCGCTCGAGATGATGGGCAACTACGCAGGCCAAACGGTCGGAGGAGTGGCGAGTACTTCCACTCATGGATCAGGATTGTTCAGTGGAACAATGGTAAGATTAGTGGAGTGGTCAAATAAAAATATTATATTATAATAGGGTGCTCCTGCGGCTACATACGTTCTCGGCCGCCTTACGAAGAAGCAGATCAGGTCTATCTGCTTCGAAAAAAACTCAAATAATTGCCTCATGGTCGAAGTGTTTAAGAAGATGGCTGGAAGAAAGAGGATTGACAATTTTGACTAAAAACCGCAGTTGACGAGTTGTAACGACTTACGCTATATTATCTAAGATTCACATATCAAGCTCTCGTGCTGTTCTGGTCACATGACATTCCAAATATGGTAATATACGTTCACAATGCAAAAATTGCCGAAACGTATCTTTAAGACAATTCGACGGCTTCCTATAGCCTTAAACTTGCTAATGATGATTATCAAAGTGTCTTCTATGACCAAGGTTTCTCTCCTCAATTTTTCAAAGGGAGGAGCATGTCTTAAACTAATTCACTAAAAGAATCTTAGGTCATTTTATGTCTCGTTTGCAGTCCACTTTTGTGGTGGGTCTTCATTTAATCATACGTGGTGGAATCCAAGTGAAGGTACGTAGCGGCCCTGAGACCATTGCGGAATGCCAAGAAAAGATCGATAGAGCCAAATACGGCGACGACCCGGTCGAGATTCACAGTAATGAGGTGTTAAAGGCATGTCAAGTAGGGTTAGGATGTATGGGGGTAATCTATTCCATTACATACAAATGTGTTCCCATGTACAATCTGGAGGAAATCAGAAAAACGGAACAGGTCTCTTGGCCAGAAACGACAACGACCGAAGACGACGAAGGCGACAACGACGGTGACGATGCGTTAATGGGAAAGAAGTTGCAATTGGGGGAGGTTCTTGAAAAGTTTGCTAAAATGTACAAGACAAAAGATGCAGAATATTTCTCGTTTTTCGTCAATCCATACCCGCTAGGACCAAGGTAAGGCCTCAGGGCTACTTACTAGAGCAGGATTAACTCCTGTTCAATGCAAACGTTATATAGCTGGCTGTATTCGAAATGGAGTTTGTAATGAAAGCTATGGTAATAGTGGTGGCTGTAGAGACGGAGATAGCGGTGAGTGGCAATGCTAGTGATAGTGATAATGCTGATAGAAGTGACGATAGTGTTTTTGGTGAGAGTAGAGGTGATGGTGGTGTTTGCAGCACTGGATAAGTCGCCCACGAGTGGGTAGTGCAGTAAGTCTTGTTGACACTAAAACAGGTATCCACTCGATAGCAATTTATCTGTTGGATAACTGGACTGGTTGTTGTGGTAATGATGTTTATGGTGGTGCTGCTGGTATTGGTGGTAGTAAGGTTGGCAGCGGTTTCTTAGTCTTGGTGTTGGTAATAGTGATGATTGTACTGATGGTGTTGGGGGATGTGCTGCTGCTAATAATGGTAGTTATGATGGTAATGCTCTACTGATTACAAGGGTGGTGGCATTGGCAGCAGTGGTGGGGAAGATGAAATCGTTGTGATGGTTCTGCTTGTGGTGGTGCTGGTTTTAATGCTGAATGCAATTACAGTCACGGTTGTAGTGCTGATACTAACGCTAGCGAGGGCAGAGAAAATCTTTAGGGTGGTGGCAGTGCTGGTAACAATGCTGGTGGTAGCTATGGTGAAAGTGGTGGCAATGGTGGCGGTATTAATGATGGTGGCGTGGATCGTGGTGGTGATAGTAAAGGCGATGTGATGGTGGTAGTTGAAGTCTTACAAGACTCAGTATATTTAATGCAAATTTAGGTCTCACTTCGTAATTCATTTCCCCGTTTAAGGTGGCGATGAAATCAATAATCTCGTTACCTCCTTGCTCCCTCAGGAATGACAAGCATATCGAAATGGCGTACTTGAAAGCTTTCAGAACAAATGATAGACCAACCTGCTGTGCTTGTTGCTCATGCTGTTGTAATTGTTGCGGGGGAAGAGGAATAGCGGACCTAGGCTGCATGCAGACAGACTGCACAGCCTCTTGCCTGCAGGGATGTGCCAATTGTTGTCCCACTTGTATTCCACGGCTCACCAATTTCGGTGTGTCACAGTTCTCGTTCGATAAACCGTATCGGCAGACATGGTACAACGTGCTGCAGTTCACGAAAGGCAATATCCAGTAAGTTTAAACATTCGTTATGTAAAACTTCCTAACTGTCATCTGCAAAAACAGCCAAATGGACCGATTGAACGTGATTTTACGACAAAATATAAATGTTTTCAAGCCGCAAACAATTTGACTTATTAAACGAAGGGATAATTGCTATTTTCTAGGGCGTTGCTATTAACATATACTTTTGTTTACCATTTAATAGAGAGCACGTTTTCATTGTGTGTCACAAATATAAAGCCTAAGTGATTCAAAGGGCCGGTCAGCACAAAGGCTAACATTTAAACCTGCTCTTGTTACAACTCCTGGAAAAAGAGGCCGACCTCAGGCATCGGAAAGTGCGATTCATCGATTGGCTATTCGTTCCATTTTTTCCTAGCTGAGTAAGAAGGTAGTTAAGGCAAACTAAGAAATCCCAAATAATTTTCGACACTCAGTCAAAAGTTGCTGTCAAATAGAGTCTTGTCGTTTCTTTTGTGATTTTAGCGTTCGTACAGCAGAATGGTGCTTACCGTTGGAACACCTCCATAGTGCTCTGACCATGGTGATAAGACTGGCTCAAGATTACGCAGAAAGGCATAAACAGTACTCCTTGCTACCAATTTATGTGAGACTTGCACTTTCTGATGATTTGTTCCTAAGCCCTGCAAGCCAGCTTAGACCTGATGGAACCAAAAGTGATCACTACTGTTACATTGAGGTGAGAAAAAAAACCTTTCTAAGAATTACCATAAAATAAGACAACAGTAAGGATTAGTTCTCTTCTTCATGCTTTTTTTAAATCTTTTTTTACCCAGGTACCATTTCTACCTGGAGCATACGGCATTGACGAGTTCCAGGAGATGGTAGAGAACAAGCTCTGCGAGAGGTTCAAGGCGAGGCCACACTGGGGAAAGAATAATCGCCTCAACCAGTCTAAGATCGAGGAGATCTACCACAAGGATAGCCTGGAAAAATGGGGAGCCGTGTACAAGATGTTTAACAAAGATGGACCGTTTGAAAATCGCTTCACACATAATATGGGTTTTGCTAAGTTGTTTCCCATCGACAAGCAGCCTTCTACCTGAGAAGTAACGTTTCATTACCTTTTTTTGTCGCTCTTAAGTATCGCTTAGATTCTTTAGCGTGTAGGAAGAAGTGCACTAGCTTGTGGAAATAATTCTCACGTCTCCTCTGGTTAATAGTGCTTAGTAATCAACGCCTGGAAACAATACACTAAGATGTATTACTAGATGATCTAGAATAACCTAAGACTGTGAGCGCTAAGATAGAACCGGCCAGTCAAATCGTTCCATTGAAGAATCATCCTTATGACTTGACTGAGCTAGCAGGAAATTCAGATTGATGACGGAATTCAACTTTATAACTTGGCGGATCTGACCAAATAGAATAACGAACAACTTGTGCTGTGGGTGTGCCGGTATCTGGCACGGTGTAACAGAGTGCGAACAAGGTCTAAAAAACAACAGCCTCATCGTTTGCGGCATCTTTATGCAACTCTGTGGGAGATAAAAGAGTTGTTCCTTCTTTTTTTGGTTTAATTATTCCAAGGCAGCCCTTAGACTAAGTCGTTTTCGCGATACAAGAAACAAAAATATTTAGGCATTAGCTAAGATAGATTAGTTAGCTATCTCGATTTTAATTACTAACCCGCTTTAGACTAGCTATGGCTAATTTCGGCGGGTCAGCCAATGTTATATCGATAATCTGAAAATTGATTAAAAGTGTGTGTCCAGTGTTTGAGAAGTTGTAATTTTTCCCCTTTTTTACCTTTGTTTGCTAATGAACGTTCCACATCTATGTAGTTAGCTTGGCAGCAGCTGTTTCTTCCATTCCTTGGAAATTTTGCGCAGGAAACTGGGAACGCTTATGGATTATAAATGGGAGGGGAATTCCTTCTATGTCTGGTTTCTGGTGTTGCAAGCGTTACACAATAAATAGAGGGATCTGGTGCAGCATGTCACTCGTTACTTGTAATTTAAGTATTCTATCAGATTAAAATTTTTAAAAGGCCAGTTTGTTATGCTTCCCAGACACGAAGCTGAAATAAGCAATTTTATTAACCAAAATATAATATTTTATTAACCATAATATTAACCAATGCAAAACAGAATAACATTGCAAATCGCACCGTTCTCCTAGGCGAAAGCTGGAATTTGCCGGAGGTTGAGTTTGAGGGAATGGTACTCTATAAACATTTCGCTTAGGAGTAGCTTGCTTAGATATACTATGCTACCATCTGCTTTCGAGACTTATCTGACTTAAATCCATCATTTAATATTAGCTTGTCTAGTCCTTTCCATTCCAAAACCATACCGTGATTTTCAAACTGATTTCATATCACGCTATGGCTTCGGTGGAATCGTCTTTTTGAACGGTGTGATGAACGTCGTAATTTACTTCCTTCAGATGAGTGATTTTCGCGAATTTCTATAGAGAAGTTTCTGCAAGAAAAATAGAACAGCGAATTCCGACAAAGCACAAACAGTAGCGATGAGCGACCCTACTGAAGGACAACGAGATAAAAATTCACATCTAAAGGAACTCAAAGTGACTTCGCAGCCTGCTACCATTGCGACAAGCCAAAATAAAAATAACGAAGACAATAACAATGATTTATAACTTTCAATATACTAACTCAGTTCATTTTTTCTGCGTGAAAGAGCTCCCCGAAATAATAATGATGTAAATTTGTGGTTAATTCAGGGTAAAATAAAACCACTTGATATTGGTTCGGAATTTAGGGAAGAATTCAACAACTATATATTTGGAGATAACCCGCTGTAAATAAGGAGATTATAACAATAGTGATGATAATAATAATAATTATAACCATAATAATAATGATGATGATAATAATAATTATAACAATAATAATTATAATAATAACAACGGTAAGCAGAACTTGTCTAGCGCCTAGTCAATTCGTTTTAGGCGCTCCCTAAAAATTGAGGAATGAATAAAAACTAAATCAATATATGTACAAAATTAAAATCGCCGTGAGAAAAGAGTTTTTTTTGAAAAAGATAGGTTTTAAGCCCAGATTGAAAAGTTTTTTAATCGAACGGATGCTATCGCGCAAACTGTTCTAAACTTGGGGGCGGAAACAAAAAAAGGCTTGAGTTTCGTAGGACTTCAGAACAGTAAAGTTACCAGGATTCAGACGTATTCCAGAGAACAACCAGAGAGTTCTGGACAGCGAGAACTGGGCTTTTAAATTCAGAACTTAGATGGAAGACAGTCGGTGTAGAGCCTTTTGAAAGTAAAAACTGAAACTTGAATCCAATGCGGTCAGAAACTGGAAGCCGGTGTTGTTCAGTCAGAATTGAAGTGATGTGATCGTGCTTTTGGGAGCGTGTAATTAAGACCTCTGCCTTTTTGTATAGGTAATCACATGATTTCGAGTGCAATTTGGAATAAATAAGCACGAGTAAATTTTTTCAAAGACTAACAAAATTGCACGAGCCCGTAGGGCGAGTGCAATTTGTGGTCCATGAAAAAATTAACAAGTGCTTGTTTATTCCAAATTGCACGAGAAAAATCATGTGATTACCTGTTAATAATATACATAGAAAAATTACGAGATGGTCTATCATAATTAAACATAAGCAAAGCACGCGCATCAAGTGCAAAAAATAATTTATTCAAACCGTGCGTTTGGTCAAAACAACTGCGTACGATCAAAACAATAATATGCAATGATATCTTCGCATCTTTAAGGTGCAAAAAAGTTCAAAGTCCGGCTAAACAGTTTAAGGAATTGTTCAGTCTGTGTCCGAATCACTTTTGATGAAATGGAATCGTCGTTTCCGAGGTTTAACCATGTTTGTTTTTTAATTTCGGCGTTAGATCGCTCGAGCAATGTGTTAAGCCGGGTCGGCTTGTAATTTTCGATTTCCTCGGCAATTCCCTTCTCTAAACACCACTTTTTCCAAACCGACAACCAAAAAGCAGCGCCTTTTACAGTGTTTTCATTGTTTAAGCTGTTTTTCAGCTGCGGTGGGGAAAGAAAACCTACTTAAAACGCCGGCCATTGTTTCGCTCGCAAATTTTCAAATTTTGTTGCGACATCCAAGGCTCGCATTTTATTGGCTATCTGTGAGTTTCTTTGACTATTGACCAATCAGACTGTCTGATTTGTTTCTTTCTTTGCACTGAATTAACCCTCTTCTGCACTGAATTAACTCTCTTCTGCACTGATTTACTTGAAAACTGCATTTATCTTAACCAATCAGAACTGAGTAGTTTTTCCATGTATATTATTAATCCGGAAACAGTATCACCTCCTCCTGCTCAACCCGACGCAGTCCTATTTCAATTTCCGATACTCACTCGAGTTATGTCTCTGCTTCTTCATTAGCATAGAAGAACCGTGGACTCATCCTTATTCAGCGGCTGAATTTAAAATTGTTCAACGCATTGCATCCGGAATTAAAGTTTAACAAAGTACTAAGTTGCAAACACAGCGGTCAAACGTCTGCGCATGTGAGAATGCTTGAAAAAGCTTTGTATTCGTTAAGTTTCAAGTTTCCCTTTTCGTTACTTTTGTTTTTCTTTTATATATTTCTATGATCTTTTCCATATTCTTTAGCTTATTTTTGGATATAGCAGTTATTCCTTTTTTTTCTATTATTTTGCACGAGAAATTTGCACCTGGCAAGAGTAGACCTCTTTAGCTTGTTTGCTTTTTTCCCTACTTGAAGGTCTTGAGTGAATTCCCAGCTTTATCTTTCGTAAATTTAAAAGATACAGCTCTCTAGAGTATTATCAATTGACCTGAAATGGGTAGACAAAACACACAGACTAAAGAGGTCTATTGATTTCCCTTGCGCAAGCCCAACGCTTGACCGCTGTGTTCGACGCTGTGTTCAAAATACCGTCGAACTTGTCGAGAAGATTTCAGGCTGCTCTTGGAAGAAGAATGTACACTGCCCACATTCAAAACATCTGTTATCTGTTATCTAATATCAAAGCAAATATCATGAAAACATTTGAAAAATTATGTTTTTCATGTCAAAGGTTAGAAAACTATGTTATTTTTGACTTAATTCCATTATTTAACAATTGGTTCATACGTCAGCGTGCGTTCATCGAGATATGAAGCACGCGGGAAGTTTGGAGAGCACGAAAGATGCGTAAGAGTTGCTCGAGGCGTAGCCGAGAGCAACTTTATCGTCTTGACGTCATGAGCGTGCACAATAGGAATATGAGGCACCCTCACGCAATTGAATTTGATTAGAAAAATTTACGCGCCAGGTTATAATTAATATTGGCCAGTCTGAGTCTTTCCATCACCTAGCTGACCTTGACGTTCGCCAATTACCCGTGGTTCTAAAACAATTTATTGATAATAACTGACGGTGTGGTCCCCGGCGAGGCTCAGTTTGAAAAGGAGGTAGGGTTTCAACGGTCGTGTGTCAAGGTTGATGTGGTCGCGAGCTGTTAGAAACCTCTAAACTGGAAATTTTTGAAGCAAACTGCGGCTTAGCGTCGGTTGCACAGGGAAGATTGAGTTTGTAGTGAATTGAAATGAAACTACAGTATATGTGCTTGGATTCTGCTTTGGATTTGTGGCCGCCCGGTCATTTTGAGCTTGGATTTTTCGCTTCTCGGATCAGGCGTTCGGAAATGGAGTGTTCAGCCTCGGGCTTTTCTTATGTACGTTGAAAACCTCGAAATGAACAACTCGCTCAAATGGGCTCTTTTCATCAAAGTAAGCGGTCAGATAACAAGCAATACGCTGTGGAAGCGAGGTGAGGTATTTTTTTTGAGAATTTGACGTATTTTTTTATTCCTGAGGGCGGTCGTAAATATGCCCATACAAACTCTTATAATTCCGCCATGACCGTTATTGCGTAAGATGATCATCTCACAGCTGGAGCTTGGGCCGCCTGTGGACTGCCTGACAGAAGTAAATGACAAGCATTCACTTAATTTATTCGAAGCACGTAACTAATAAGGGTTTTTCTCAGAACTGCAATTGAGAGAAGGGAAACTGGTGTGAAGGACCTCACTGACTTGGGTAAGCATTGGAAATAACTCTTAAGCTCTAATTAATGCTTTAGTAGATCTAGTTCACGCGTCTTTCTTATGAAGAGGTGCGTTGCAAATGTCCACAGTAGAGTAACATTTGCATTTGAGAGGAAATGCTTCCCAACTTACGACGAAGAAAATGGGTCAAAACACCAAGCTTCGTAGTTCTTTACATACCAATATTTTTGATATTGTGGTTTTAACAATAATTGCTCTGATCTAAGTTCAAGTTATACATGTGCAGTGATCAGCGAACGGCAAATGTAATCAGCGCGAGTGTAAATGCATTCCATGCCGGTGTAAATGATGGTTTTTCAAAGGATCTAATCTGTCAAAAATTCTAAATTAATCATCACTTTCAAGAAGAATCTCTTTAATTTCACATGGAAAGACTGAGCTTGTGTGTCAAAACAACATCAGAAATGTATGAATATTTTAGGTGCCAACAGAGTAAACTAAAGCTAAAACACGGAAAAACTTGATAAAATACATCACTGCGAGATTAAAAAAAATTACGCATGTTAACAAAAAAAACATCGCCGTCTCTAAGAATTTTGTTTCCTTGAAGGTGAACATTTTGGTATTCTTCCTCGCTCACGCGCCGTTACATAAACCTCCCTTCGATATTCACAAGTTCTACAGTTGCTATGTGACTCAAGACTACGAAAGACTTGCGAGTCTTGGCACACTGTCACGGAAAATGAGCAGACAATAACTCCGCGTCATACCCAGGCAATATAAACTTCTTTTGAAAGAACTATCTTTTAATTATTAATTTTTAATTACAGGCGTCTATCAGCCTTCGTCATTAGTTTTACTGTTATTTTCAGCCACAGCTTTCTTTTACACATTCATTCAAACGCCGTTCCTTTGGGGTGTCTAGGTCAAAGGCCGCAGCCTGGTTGTCTAAAGCTTATCGCATAATAATCTTCCACCAGACAACACTTTTTAGTATTTCATCAAAAGGAACCTTGGTTCCTCTTTCATTTTTACTCGAAAACATAAGAAACAGCCAAAAAGATGCAACCGTCCGTAGAAGCTCCTTTTAGGAGCAAAAGTAAGGAAAAGGAAAATTTACCTTTATTTCGCCTTGGGTATTTTATTTATTTTTCATTTTCTGTCGGGGTTTGCCAAAATCGAGTGATGTTGCAGACTTGGTTCATTTGCATAACTTGTTCCTAATCATACGATGCGTCATTCTGCCGACCCTGCACTATTTGCGTTCGCAGTTGCGCAGTCGTTTGATCGTCATATCAACAAACCGTGACGTAACTGCTTCTTTAATCAGGATTCTTTCGCTTACTCCTTCGACAACAAAAAACGTTTTAGAGGTAGGAAGAGAGAGAATCCTACGAACAAAATTGAACGCATGTCTCGCACTTTTTAAGTACAAAGACTTCCTTTCCACCACATTTCTATTTTTGTTCCTTACAGGGTGCTAGCCATGGGAAACAGCGTAGATTGTTGTTACAACTCGCGCTGGTCTTACCAGTGCATTTTCCCTTGCATTCGTTTTTGTACATACACAGGACGTCGGGTCTTTTACAACTATGACGGAATGGAAAAGGTTCAACCACTCGTCCATATTTACCACCCCCGGAACGGGCGCGTTCACTCTCTTCCAGATGCTCTCTATGGCATTGATGACGACGATGATATACAAAATCAAATCAAAAGCCATAAAGGTGTGTACACGAACATTTGTAGGAGCAAAAATTATAAACTGCGATTAAGCGATTGAGAGAGTGGGACTAACTAACTTGACTAAAAACAATCACAGTAACTCCTACTTTAATGAATGACTGATTAGCTTGGAGAATTCACGCTAAAACATACATTATCACGATGCAACTTTGAAACAAATGCTTCCTGACATATGGAATTGCTACGGGTAAAAAAGTACCTGCAACTGATTTGATTCATCTGACTTTCTGATTACACAGGGCTTGACGGCGCTGGTCAGATCGCGGCGTTGTGCAAGTATGCAGCGGACAATGGTTACACCATTCGCGCCGTGGGCACAGGTTCCTCTTGGTCTCGTCTCACCCATACTAGAGACATACTTGTGGTCATGACTGATTTGAACAAGATTCTCACGGTCCCAAAGATATTGGAGGATTCACAGTCGGAGGATTCAGAAATGGAAACAACGGAAATGAAATATGAAGTCGAAGTACAAGCCGGGAAACGCGTTGTAGATTTTGTCGAGGAACTCGACCGGGATCATCACAAGGCGCTCAAGATGATGGGCAACTACGCAGGCCAAACGGTTGGAGGAGTGGCGAGCACTTCCACTCATGGATCAGGATGGTTCAGTGGAACAATGGTAAGATTAATCGAGTGGTCAAATAAAAATAGTATATTATAGTAGGGTGCTCCTGCGGCTACATACGTTCTCGGCCGCCTTACGGAGAAGCAGAAAAAGTCTATCTGCTTCGAACAAAATTCAAATAATTGCCTCATGGTCGAAATGTTTAAGAAGATGGCTGGAAGAAAGAGGATTGACAATTTTGACTAAAATTACAGTTGACGAACTGCAACGACTTACGCTATATTATCTAAGATCCACATATCCAGCTCTCGTGCTGTTCTGGTCACGTGAAATTCCAAATATGGCAATATACGTTCAAAATGCAAAGATTGCCGAACCGAACTTGCTAATGATGATTATAAAAATGTTTCTATGACCAAGGTTTCTCTCCTCGATTTTTCAAAGGGAGGAGCATGTCTTAAACTCATTCACTAAAAAATCTTAGGTCATTTTATGTCTCGTTTGCAGTCCACTTTTGTGGTGGGTCTTCATTTAATCGTACGTGGTGGAATCCAAGTGAAGGTACGTGGCGGCCCTGAAACCATTGCGGATTGCGAAGCAAAGATCGATGGAGCCAAATACGGAGACGACCCAGTCGAGATCAAAAGTAGTGAGGTGTTAAAGGCATGTCAAGTAGGGTTAGGATGTATGGGGGTGATCTACTCCATTACATACAGCTGTGTTCCCATGTACAAGCTGGAGGAAATCAGAAAAACGGAACAGGTCTCTTGGCCAGAAGTTAGGACGGAAGACGACGAAGGCAACAACGACGGTGACGATGCGTTAATAGGAAAGAAGTTGCAATTAGGGGAGGTTCTTAAAAAGTTTGCTAAAATGTACAAGACGAAAGATGCAGAATATTTCTCGTTTTTCGTCAATCCATACCCGCAAGGACCAAGGTAAGGCCTCAGGGCTACGTACTAGAGCAGAATTAGTTCTTTAATACGAATGTTATAGAGCTGGCTGTATTCGTAGTGGTGTTTGTAATGAAAGCTATGGTAATAGTGGTGGCTGTGGAGATGGAAATGGCGGTGGGTGACGATGCCAATAATAGTGATAGTGGTAAAAGAAGTGACGGTAGTGTTCTTGGTGAGAGTAGCGGTGATGGTGGTGTTTGCAGTACTGGCACCAGTTGTTTGAAGGGTGGATAACGCTATCCACTGGATAAGTCGCCCACGGGTAGATAACGCAGTAAGTCTTGACACTTAAAGCGGTATCCGCTGGATATCAAGTTATCTGTTTGATAACTGAACCCTGGTTTAGTGGCAGTGTTTTCTATGGCGGTGCTGCTGGTATTAGTGGTAGTAGGGTTGGCAGTGGTGTCGTAGTCTTAGTGTTGGTAATAGTGATGATTGTGGTGATGATGTTGGAAGATGTGCTGCTGCTAATAATGGTAGTTATGGTAGCAATACTCTTACTGATTACAAGGGTGGTTGCATGGGAGATGAGATGGTTGTGATGGTAGTACTGGTGTTCATGCTAAATGCAGTGGTAGGTACGGTTGTGGTGCTGGTGCTAACGCTAGCGGGGGTAGAAGAAATGTTTCTGGTGATGGCAATGCTGATAACAATGTAAATGGTAGCTACGGAGACGGTGATAGTAGTGGCAGTGGTGGTGGCATTAATGATGGCGGCAAGGATCGTGGTGGTGATAGTAAAGGCCATGTGATGGTGGTGGTTGAAGTCTTAAAAGACTCAGTACAGTTAATTCTAATTTAAGTCCCTTTTCATAATTCCTGTTACGTTTAAGGTGGCGATGAACTCAATAATCTCGTTACCTCCTTGCTCCCTCAGGAATGACAAGCATATTGAAATGGCTTACTTGAAAGCTTTCAAAACAGATCGTAAACCAACCTGCCGTGCTTGTTGCTCATGCTGTTGTAATTGTTGCGGGGGAAGAGGAATAGCGGACCTAGGCTGCATGCAGTCAGACTGCACAGCCTCTTGCCTTCAGGGATGTGCCAATTGTTGTCCCACTAGTATTCCACAGCTCACCAACTTCGGTGTGTCACAGTTCTCGTTCGAAAAACCGTATCGGCAGACATGGTACAACGTGCTTCAGTTCACGAAAGGCAATATCCAGTAAGTAAAAACACTTGCTGTGTGAAACTTTCTAACTATCATCTGCACAAACAACCAAATGGACCGATTGAACGTGATTTTACGACAAAATATCAACGTTTTCAAGCCGTAAACGGTTTGACTTATTAAACGAAGGAATAATTGCCATTTTCTAAGGCGTTGCTATTAAACATATACTTTCGTTTACCATCAAATAGGAAAATGGAGAGCACGTTTTTATTGAGTTTGGTAAATGTAAAGCCTAAGTGATTCAAAGGGCCGGTCAGCACAAAGGCTAACATTTAAAACTGCTGGTTACAACTCCTGGAAAGAAAAGGCCGACCTCAGGCGCCGGAAGGTGCAGTTTATCGATTCGCTATTCGTTTCATGTTTTTCTTAGCTGAGTAATAAGTGGTTAAAGCAAACTAAGAAATCCCAAATGATTTTCAGTCAAATATTGCTGTCAAATAGAGTCTTGTCGTTTCTTTTGTAATTTTAGCGTTCGCACAGCAGAATGGTGCTTACCGTTGGAACACCTCCATAGTGCCCTGACCATGGTGATAAAACTGGCTCAAGATTACGCAGAAAGGCATAAACAGTATTCTTTGCTACCAATCTATGTGAGACTTGCACGTTCTGATGATTTGTTCTTGAGCCCTGCAAGCAAGTTTAGACCTGACGGAACTATAAATGATCACAACTGTTACATTGAGGTAAGAAAAAAAAAACCTTTCTAAGAATTACCATAAAATAAGACAATAGTAAGGATTTAGTCTTTACTTCATGCTTTTTAACTTTTTTTTTCCCAGGTACCATTTCTCCCTGGAGCATTCGGCATTGACGAGTTTCAGGAGACGGTAGAGAACAAGCTATGTGAGGAGTTCAAGGCAAGGCCACACTGGGGAAAGAATAATCGCCTCAACCAGTCTAAGATCGAGGCGATCTACCACAAGGATAGCCTGGAAAAATGGGGGGAAGTGTACAGGATATTTAACAAAGGAGGACCGTTTGAAAATCTCTTCACACATCATATGGGTTTTGCTAAGTTGTTTGATTATCCAATCGATAAGCAGCCTTCTGCCTAAGAAGTAACGTTTCATTACCTTATTTTGTCGCTCTTAAGTATAGGAAGAAGCGCAGTAGTTTATAGGTAGAATTCTCATATGTATACACTGGTTGACAGTCTTCGGTAATCAACGCCTAGAAAACAACATACTAAGATGTGTTACCAGATGACCTGGAATAACCTAGGACTACGAGCACTAAGATGGAACCGGCCAATCAAATCGTGCCATTTAATCCTTTAACTCCCGTGAGTGACCAAGACAGAAGTTCTCCTTACTATATCTGTAAAATACCATGCAGACAAGTGATGGGAATAAAGAAAAATATCAATTATAGAATTACTAATTAACTGATCCGATACTAAATTCTCTGAACTAACATTAAAAGAACTGTATGGTTGGCAGTAAGGAGAATTGCAAATTTGATCTGGGAGTTGAAGGGTTAAGAATCATCTTCTAGAGTGTCTTACATAATAAATGTAACCCATCAGAGCAATGTATAAAAGTTGACTTGATAGAGCTAGTGGGGCAAAATCGATTGATAATAGAATTCAATTTTACAACTTGGCAGATCTGACCATTGCCGTAAAAAGAACTGAAATAGCCAAATAGAAATTCATAACTAGCACTCTTAAAACAGTTTGTTTCACTGATAGTTTTAAAATGAACAGAAGTTATTGTTTATTTGCCGCTATTTGAGGGGGTTTCATGCAGTTGTAGCTAATGTAGCCTTTTTTCAGTTTCATTCTCTTGACAATATTTTGCAACTAGTTGTATCTGTAGAAACCAATCCCCCTCCTAGCCCCAGTCCGGGCGGCTATCTATATAACTTTGACTTTCGCGCGGATCAAGCAAATGTAATGGTGTTAGCTCGAGTAGAAGGTGATCGCTTATGCAGCCGTATTCCAAAATCGTTAGGTAAATTTCTCTATGTTATACGTATTTCTTGTTATTTCCAATCTTGTAATTGGTCGTTCCGTTCGTGATGTATTATGTTCGTAATACATTACTTAGAAACCACTGGCAATTAATGGCGTGTAAATGGAGGAATTCGATCGTGTCGTCAAGAAATTAAACTCCTCTTAAATTTATTGCTGATGCGTTGGTTACAGTATCTTTCTGGTATAACAAGGAATTATTTGTTCAAACGTTTGCCCTTATTAATTACTGTTTGGCCAAACATTAGGTAGGACTGCGTGGTGGCCTAATTTGCCTTGATTATTGGATTGTGTTCTTGGACAAGACTCTTGCATTGGCTCGATTACATAGCTTACAAACAAATACAACTTTATCGGGTCTCCATTTTCAGGGCTTTTCACTCAGTTGTATGAATGGGTGCTAGCAATTTAATGATAAACTCCTGGCTGACTGGTCTGAATACGAACGTTGTGTGATAGGCCAATTAAAATAGGAGGCTGCTCAGATTCTACCTTGCCAAACAGACCCTTCAATGTTGGTATTAAAAGTCACACAAATTTGAATTACTTAGAAGAGAGAAAGTTCTGTATACTTTGTCAAATAGCAAAGGCTTGACAACTAGAACATAAACAATATCCTACAAACTAAAAAAACTAAGTTGAACAATGGAGCACAAACCTGCCCAAAAAATGCAGGGCAATACTTTTTAGTTTAATTCAAGGATGTCCACCGAAAAATTCAGGTACTTGCAAAGAAAAAAGTCACTCTCCAACAAAGCATATCTTTATTTGAAGTGGAATGATCAAAACCAATAAAAATACTATTAGTACTATTTGAAATTAGAGAATTATGACAGCAGGAAAACCGTACAATACAAAGTTTTAATTTTTTGTTTTGAATTTTTTGTTAATTGCAAGAAATGTATGTCTTTTGAGGAAAGACATACATTTAGCATTACTTCCTGACAGTAAAGGACCAGCTGGGGATATTGTTGGTGCAACAGCAGGTGTCAGTGTTGCTGAGGTAACTGTTGGTGTTACTGCTGATGTTACTGCAGTTAACAAAGCTATCAACAGAACAAGAATTTATGCAATTGTCATAGAATTGTTGAAAATGTGAGCTACAAAAATTTTAAACAGAATATATACATGTACTTAAAATTCAAAGTCTTGCGTATGATCAAAAGTTGTGAAAGGTAAATATCTTTTGTAAACTTTGAGCAAGTACTTTCACAGTCAGTGCTTCAGTTTTGAAATGCCTTTATTGATTGGGGCAACAACAGGAGAGGGAGATTTGTTAATTAACCCTTTCACTTCCAAGATCTAATTGTTAATTCTCCCCTCTGGCTGCTACACACTTCGTTGTTAGTTAGTTATGATGATTTGATGTTAGATCAAGATTATAACTTTTACCCTATAAGTTTGAATATTCTCATTACCTGTTTGTCAAATAATGTATTGATATTGAAGGGAGAAGTTACATGTTAATCACTTTGAGGAGTTAGAGGGTTGATGCAGCTGAAGCAACTAAAACAACTGAATAGTAACTCCTAAATATTCAAACACTGTGGAGAGCTGCTCTTCTTGGTGTGTAGGAAAAAATTGGTATAGCAAAGTAAACAAGCTAGTCAAAGAATTTAAATCTAAAATGGGGATTTTTCTCCCGTAAATTATCACGGAGTAATTTAATATGGGTAATGATTATAACCTCAGCATGAGCTGCACACATACCACTTTGCTTTTTTAGATTCTTGTAACAACTAACCTCTAGAGTCAATGAAAACTTTCTTTGTTCTTTGTCTGAATGCATTTTGGATGCTGTATCTATTTGTGAGACCATTGAAAACTCTAAGCAAAACTCTGAACCCCGGTTGCAGATTTTAGTATCGTCATGCTACAAAGCGATCAACATCATTATATTTTGCAGTCAATGATGCTTGCGGTATTTCTCTAAGGCCCGCTTCAAACGTCGTGCTACTGCCTGGTCGAACTCGTTTGACAGTAGCGCGTCGTTTGAAACCAAGTCGTGCTTCTGACGTGTAGCACGGCACGTTCATAGCAAGTAATTAAAATCACCCAACATGCCGGCCTTTATCTAGCCCCTTTGAAAGATACCTGGCTTTGTCATATCCAACAGCACTCAATGACAAAACAAAACTTGTGATAATTTCGATATAATGATTATAACGCTGCTGTATATGAAGCATGACCATTGGAAAAAGCTCTCAGAAATACCTTGTGGGGTTTACTCCCGCCAGAGTTGGAATATTCGTGGCCAGTAGGTTTGCAATTTGACCAGAGGTGTGCCTGGTAGAAAATTGAATGTCCCCTATTCTCCTTTCCTGTATCAAAGTTTCCATACGCGATCTTCTTGGAATTGCTTTCATCGAGGCATCCTCTTGCCGCAAATGAACAAACGTTCTTGTGACGGATGTGTTTCTGTCCACATTATCAAGCAAGATATTTAGTAGGACGGTTCGTTCCAGCAGATGTTTTTCTGATAATTTTTAACATGACCATGAACACGAACATGTGTCCTTAACTGGTCGCGAACGAAAAACAAATTTGGAAATGACCATTGCAGAAGCTGCTATCTAGCTGTGTGGCAGAAGTCACGAGGAATTTCAAAAAAGTGATTTTAAGGACATACCGTGTAGCACTTTTATTTTGCGGGGTTTAAATTCTGCGGATTCTGCGGATGAGAAAAAAAAAGTTCAACAGAAAAAAACACCAGCAAAATTAAAAACCGCAAAAATTTACTCCCATTGATATTTTAAAAATGGCTTTTAATCCACTTGTGTTACTGTATATCATACATTGAGGTAAAAAGAGAACTTTTAATTATGAGCTAGCTACAAACAAAACGAAACGATAAAAGGTTAAGTCAACACTTTTCCAGTCTCTGAGACGAACTCAAAGTAATCAATCAAAAGGCCACGTTAAACTTGCTCGAACGGATCATCCGTAAGGACACCATTTTCTAACGCCTTTAGGATGCCACGTTTTTTCGTGATTGAAAGTTTTTCTATATATGTTGATAAAAATCGACCAGCCAGTGCGAGGTATGCTCAGGCATAACCGAAATTCCCTTGTTAACAGCAATTTCACTGGTGTTTTGCCCAGCGTTTATATTCTTCTCAGATTTCTCCAGCGTACCATCCATGAAACTTTACTCACATAAAAAAATTGAAAATTAAAGTATTAAAAAAAAAAAATAATAATAATAATAATGGAATAAAACGAAGGAACTTTATTACCATTCGAAAAGTTTGTAGGGATAAGGTATAAAGTTAAAATAATTACTCAACAGGCCCTGTTTTAAATTACATTACATCGGTCCTCAACCTTTCAACTTAAAATCAAAGAAGCTATCCACATTCAATGGGAGAAACCTAAACTTAATCACAAAATTTTATCATGTTAATGTAAAACTTTCCTTATAAATGCATACATTATTCTGTGACTATTGCTTGTTTTGTCCAATCAGCATTTTGTTACACACTTCAAATTCAGCTTTGCACTTTGTATTATTCAGAACTGAAGAGGATAGAAGAACTTTCGAAACATGTTTTTAAAAAGTGTCGTTCATTTTCTTAAAAAAAAATACCCCGTGGGAATTGTTAACTATCACATGAATTATAAAAGTTGAGGATGTTCCATTTCCTCTCTTGTTGACGTCGTGCTGCTTGAAAAGAAAACCGCATAAATTAGTTCCCGTCGGAAATTTAAGTCTATTCGAGCCGCAAACATTTGTTCCCGCAAACTATTTCTTGGGCTGCCTGTACATTTAGATAGACACTGATGACTGTTTTGAATCTAAATGGCGATCAGTCTGCTGTTCAGGTAACAACACAGGAAGCGGTCAAATAACAAGCGATTCACTGTGGAAGTGAGGTATTTTTATTGAGAGTTTGACTGTATTTTTTATTCCTAAGAGCGGTGGTAAATATTCCCATACAAACTCTAATGATTTCGCCCTGACCCTTATTTCGTTAGATGATCATGTCGCAGCTGGAGCTTGAGCCGCCTATGAGTTGCCTGTCAGAAGCAAAAAGGAGAGACAATTACTTAATTTATTCAATAAATAAAAAGGAAAATTTGCATTGAAAGACTGACAAAGGAGGCGTAAATGGATTGTTGGTTGCTAGTTGATTTCAACTACAACTTTGAGTGTTATTACTTGTTTTAAACTACAACTTGGAATGTGATTGGCTTACTAAATTGTCCCATAGCAAACTACCCAATAACAGCTATGCAAGTGAATTAGTGGAAAAGAGGGGCTTTTTAAACAAATCGCAATTGCGGAAATGGTAATTTTTATGATTACTCAGGATATGAGACCTCTAAATTCACAAGAACGATCAGGCCGATCTCTCCGAATAGCTGGCCTGTTTTGCTTCCAACATCTTCTGCACCTTTTCAATGGCTTTTGCTGCCTTTGTAGCGATATCTTTGGCAACTTTTCCTGTCAGTTTGGAGGCAACCTTGCCTGCGACTTTTTTTGCAATATCAAAAAATACCTTCACCGTTTTGAATCATTTTAGAATTGCGCTTCATGGTCTCCACGTCGTAATATACACTATGACCATTTTTGTCTCTGATCCGTCGTACTCTTGATATATATACTATTGTTACATATTCAACTGAATTCAGAAATATTGGTATATTTATATATTATTGGTTTATTTAAAATGTTACCTGATGTATGCAACATGTTATGTTTCAGTTAGCTCAGACAGTTTCAACAATTCATCAAGTATCCGCCATACCTCATTGTAAATATGTCATCATTTTTATTTTTATCTTCATCGTCATTATTACCATCACTTTCTTCAATAGTGTCCAATGGATCAAAACTTGACTGTAAGTCTGATAACCATCTATTAATTCCATGAACTGACCCCTGGTGAGACCCTTGTTGAGACATTACGTCTGAGAGTACATCAGGTGAATTAAAAATATTTTGTTGGTTTTCTTGTAATTTTTCAATTAGCTTATCCTGTTTCTTATCAATAGTCTCTTTTATCTCTTTTTGTGTGTCGATAATTGGTTTGAATGTTTCTCTGGTTTCATATTGATGCATATCTCTTCCATCACTGTAATCCTTAATTTCTTTTGGTATCTTATGTTTCAGAGAGTAAGAATTCTTTCTCAGTCTGTTTGTGTCCATATATAATTAAGACAGTTATTCCATATGAGATATTTTAATATGCCCATGTAACTTGAAGATTCCCAGCTATGACAATGACAATAAACAAAGTAAAAAAAGAAGGTTGAAGATGTTTTTGGATGAAGAGTGTCGCATGTTAGTTTGCAGGCAATCAGGTTGTGGGAAGACAAATACTGTGATGCATATGTTACGAAGGCCACTTGTTTGTTTTGATAAAATATATTTATACCCAACCAATGAACATCAAGACAATAATGAGCCAAATATTTAACAAAGTTGGTCATGATGTTCTGGAAATAAAAAGACTCGATGAGATCATGGAAACAAGTGAATACCCTGAAGGAAACAGAACAATTGTTGTTTTTGATGATCATGACAATGCACTAAATAAAAT